CTGTATAATAATAACAGTACATCGTATACAGGTTATGAGACATTCTGACCGACCGACCGACCGACCAGAGGAGCCCACCACGCTATTTAGGTCACGCCTTGCTATATACGATTTAACGATATACCGTCGGTCCATCGATCCGCTATTTTTCGATGCACCCCTGTATACACGTTGCCCCCCGTAATCCACGCCAACACCAGACAGGTGCGACATCGGCGCCATCTATGCGCGAGATGCCCAACCCATCAATGGCAGCTGTCCAATGACGCATAGATTCCGTTAGGTTTGTACAGCGCCAAACAAATCGGCGCCATCTATGCGCGAGATGCCCAACCCATCAATGACAGGTGTCCAATGACGTATGACAGATGACGTTTTAACGCCATCTATGCGTGAGATGCCCAATGACGCATGACAGGTGTCCAATGACACACAGATTCCGTTTGGTTTGACAGCGCCATCTAGCGGCGGAATCCCCAACTCATGATTACAGATTCCGTCCAACAACCTGTCAATGGCGCGCGACGCCAGCGCCTCTGGTGGCGGATTTTGGAAGTTTTGAGACCGAATCCCCATAAGACATCTACTTGCGAACATTGAACCTTATAGATTATCTGAAATATTTTCGATTGTACACGAGTACGATGGAAACCCGATATTGCTATCGACCTTCATCAACGCGTGCCGAACGGCATATCAAATGGCCGTCGAGGAGCAGCGGCTTCTCGTCGTTTTACATATTAAAAACAAACTTCGCGGACGTGCCGCCGAACTTGTGAACAGCCGAAACCCTTCCACGTGGGAAGACATACGGTCCCTGTTAGAAACGCACTTTGGAGATCTTAGAGATCTCACATCTTTAATCGCGGATCTTCAACACATGCGCCAACTCCCCAACGAATCACCCCTAACCTTTGCATCTAGACTGCAGACACATGCAGCCAAAATGCATTCCGCCGTGAATAGGCAAAATCTAAATCGCGAGCAAAAATCTGCTCAAAGTTCCCTCATCGAAACGATGACTTTAAATTGTCTATTAACAGGATTAGACTCAAAAATAGGACCCGTTGTGCGATCAGGACATCCCACGGATATCTTGGCCGCAGTTTCGTATATCAAACGAGAGTTACAACTTTCATATTTGGAAAGACAAAAATTCGCCAGAGCCCCAAACCCGAATCAAAATTCAGTTATTCGAAGACCAAACCCTAAAATTTGTAATTTTTGTAATCGTCCCGGTCACTTAGCAAATGAATGCCAACGGAGACAACAGCCTACAAGCTTTGCCCCAAGACAGTTTAACCAGCCCCAACCTCAAAATTACCCTAGGCCTAATCAACCTATGCAAGTTAGACCATCTACATCTAACTACCATCAAAATTCTAATCAATATCTTCCCAGACCATCTGTAATACGACCAAATGCGCGTAACGCGAGTGCGCCAAGACCCTCTGTAATTCAGAGCAATCCAAATTTCCAAAACCCTAATTTTCAAAGAAGTTTTAGACAAAATCCTCCCAATCGAATTAATTATGTCGCCCCTGATTCTTACGATTATTCCGACTACGGTGAACCAGACCTATACAACACGGACTACGCTAATGAATATGACGATACCCAGTACTCCGCCTACACACCTATAATCAAACCGCCGATACATTTGTTGACAACGCTTATTCGGACCATACAACAATTCCAGGATTTTCGGACCAAGTGTTTGAAAGAGAAACCCCCTGCGGAACCCAACGACAGTACCGCGATAGTATGTGCGAACTTAGCGAATCTCAGTGTCGAGGACCCGAACGCGAAACCGTGTGCGAGCGTCAGCAACACATGCGATCAGATGTTCATATAAACCCTCCGTTTATAGTCCCGTCGACAATTCACCCCGTTAGCCCAGACAACTTATATTACATTAAAGATGCTACTGGAAAATTCAAAATTCTCATTGACAGTGGTGCAGGTTGCTCCATTTTCAAACGTAACACTTGTCAAAATTATACTAATCGTGTCGCAGAAAATATCTCTATCCGAGGTATTACTGACGAAAAAATTAGTATTACCGAAGCAGTCTTAGTCCCATTTGCTCCCAATGATTATCACAAAATTTATGTCCATGATCTAGATATTTCATTCGATGGCCTTCTTGGGTCAGATTTTCTTGAACATTATGATTGTATTATTGATTTGAAAAATCGTCAATTGATTACAAATTTCAAAACAGTCCCTCTTTTCAAAGTAGGTGACGAAAATGATTCCAAAGCTTCTCAATTTAAAGAAAAGTCCCAAGCTTCGCAATTTAAAGAAAATTCTCAAGTTCAAAATGTTATTTCTATTCCTCCCAGAGTTGAACAAGTTGCCATTCTTCTGGCGTGTGAGGTAGAAAAAGTCCGTCTACCCAGTTCCATAGTTAAAATTGATTCTAAAGGCGAATTCCTTACTACAGTATTAAACTGTAATGCCATTCCAAAAAATGTAATTTTACCCCAATTAACTTTCGAGCCCTTTAACGAAACTTCTATCAATAATTTCAACACTTCTTTACAAAATCAAAGTCAGTATAACCGTAGAGATGTTATTAGAGATCAATTACGTCTCGATCATCTCAACGAAGAGGAAAAAGATTTAATTACGAATCTTTGCTTAGATTTTTCGGACATATTCTATTTAGATGGTGATAGCTTGTCATTTACAAACGAAATTAAGCATTCCATTGATACCACTACCAGTAAACCAATTTTTACCAAATCCTACCGATACCCTTATGTCCACAAGCAAGAAGTCAAAGATCAAATTTCAAAATTACTAAAACAAGGTATTATCGAACCTAGCACATCGCCATGGAATTCTGCGGTGTGGGTTGTACCAAAGAAAATGGACGCCTCTGGTAAACAGAAATGGCGTATGGTGATTGACTATCGTAAGCTTAACGAAATCACCATCGATGATAAATATCCCCTGCCAAACATTTCCGATCTACTTGATCAATTAGGGAAATGCCAGTACTTTAGTACACTGGACTTGGCATCTGGATTTCATCAAATCGAGATAAATCCAGTTGATGTTCCTAAAACTGCATTTTCAGTTGAAAACGGACATTACCAATTCTTGAGGATGCCTTTTGGTCTCAAGAACGCTCCTGCCACGTTTCAACGTGTCATGGACAACATCTTGATGGGTATACAAAACGAAAGATGTCTTGTATACATGGATGACATAATTGTCTATTCCCCCTCCATCCAAGGACACATCAGTAGGCTTACCGAAATTTTTACGCGTCTTCGGAAGTCGAATTTCAAAATCCAGCCTGATAAGTGCGAATTCCTCAGAAAGGAAGTAGCCTATCTTGGTCATGTAATAACCCCTGATGGCGTTAAGCCCAATCCAGATAAAGTGGATTGCATAAAAAATTTCCCTCAACCCAAGAATCCTAAAGAAATAAAATCTTTCTTAGGTCTTGCAGGTTACTACCGACGCTTTATACCAAACTTTGCCAAAATTGCGAAACCCCTTACCAGACTATTACAGAAAGACACAGTATTTGACTTTGATAGCGAGTGTGTTAAGTCATTTGATACTTTAAAAAATGCTTTAACAACATCTCCTATACTGGTCTACCCCAACTTTGAAGAGCCTTTTGTGCTTACAACAGACGCAAGCGCTTTTGCGATATCTGGCGTTCTTTCCCAAGGTCCTATAGGTAAAGATCTCCCGATAGCCTATGCATCTCGTACACTTTGTAAAGCAGAAACGAGATATTCCACCATTGAAAGAGAACTTCTAGCTATTGTCTGGAGTGTAAAACATTTTAGACCTTATTTGTATGGTCGAAAGTTTAAACTCGTAACAGACCATAGACCCCTTACGTGGCTTTTCTCTTGCCGAGACACCGGAAGTAGATTAGCAAGATGGCGCCTCAAGCTAGAGGAGTACGACTATGAAATAGTGTACAAGCCAGGCAAGGCTAATAAAAATGCCGATGCCCTATCACGTATCAAATTACCCAAAACTGTTAACGCCCTTACCCATAGTGACGAAGAAGGAGAACCTTCTACCCAATTTTCCGAAAGTGAATTTGATATCTTTGCCCGCATTTACAAAACCACATCCCTGATCGATTATTCCAAAATCCAATTTTCAAATTCCCAACTCCTAGACAAAAGTCATAAACATATCGTCACGTTTTTCAGACAAAACACTCTATCTGATCTTCACGAAAAAATTATCGAAGACATATTCGAGGAAAATCTTGATTTTTCTGCAGATAAAATTAACATCGCGTCTAGCAAAACAACTAAAGATAGAAAATACTATATTATTCCTGTGCCATACGATCCCGTAACTTGCATACAGCATCTTTTCTCTGTAATTTTAACCAACAAAGGTGTATTCGACCTATCCCAACAAATTTACGTTGAAAATAATTTGGACTTACCCATTTTAGAAATTTTCTCTTTTATCTTTTCGGATGATAATATCAAACTTGTCGTTTGCCAAAACGTCACCAAAACTCCTAGTCCCCATGAAATCCCCGTCATTTTAGATCAATACCATTGTGGTAAGAAAAACATTCATCGAGGAATTAATGAAACAATTAGGCGAATTCGTGAACGATATAATTGGCCCGGCTTAACTAAAGACGTTGAGCATTTCATCAAAAAGTGTGAAATTTGTCAAAAGACCAAAATTTGTCGTAAAAACCTCAGTGCCCCTTTTGTAGTAACCGAAACCCCTAAAGCCCCGTTCGAAAGAATCAACATTGACATTTTGGAAGTCCCGCCTAAATGCTACGCTCTCACAATCCGAGACGAGCTAACAAAATTTTCTCAAGCCTATCCAATTAGCGACAAATCTGCAAAATCTGTAGTGAATACTCTACTTTTATATTTCCAACATTATGGTACACCTCTCCGAATACACTGCGATTACGGAAAAGAATTTAACAACGCCCTCATGAAAGACCTTTGTAGTCTTTTTGACATTAAATTAACTTTTTCTAGTGTCAGTCATCCCCAGTCCAATGGCTCGATTGAGCGATTTCACGCCACCTTATTGGAAATGATCAGATCCCATGTATCCGAAAATCCCGACGAACATCCCTTCAATATTCTTCCCTATGCTGTTCAGTGCTACAATAGCACTAGAAATAAAACTACTGGCTTTACACCATACGAGCTCGTGTTTGGCCACACCTCTGGTCGTCCGCCCGAACACGTATATTTAGAAAAAGAATTGATGTCCAAGTATGTTCGAGACATTCGGAATAAACTCGAATATTACTACAAAATTGCCTGCGTGAGAACTGATGAACAGAAGCAAAAAGCAAAAATTCGCTTTGATAGTAGAGTGTCACCCAATTTACAATCATATAAAGTTGGAGATAAAGTCTTTGTGAAACAGTCTCAAATTTCAAACAAGCTTCAGAACAAATTTGATGGTCCATTCGAAATTACTCAAGTTTTTGAAAATTCTGCGCTCCTTAAGAACCCGGAAACAAATAGAATAAGTAAAGTTAATTTTGACAGACTGAAACCATGTTTTGAGACTTAGTTTCTCTTTCAGGTGCAGTCTGCTGTTTCTTGCTGCTGTCACAGCCCAGATAGACATCAAACCGCTTAACAACACCTTAGGTATCTATTTTCATGAAGACGCCCCTCTTAAGATTTCCAACGAAATTTGGACACTCCTTGTATATAAAGACTTAGAACTCATTATGAAAGCACTTGACGATAGCAACAATATTCTGGAACACTTATCATATCTCGTAGACAAACCCACCAATCGTATGAAAATGTTTAGTGGTGAAATTAAAACTCATACAAGTCTCCTTTATCAAATTTCTCGTTCCTTGGAATCTAAATATTACGCGATCTTCGATGACACTGTAAGCGCATCGCGGATGAAACGCGGTCTGATTAACGCTATAGGTACTGTATGGAAAGCAATAACCGGCAACCTCGATTCATCGGACGGTGAATACTATAACGATTGTATTAACAAAATTTCTAAAGATGAACATGAGCTCGAAAACCTCATGAAGAACCAAATTTCTGTTACCATGTCGGTTATCAAGAATTTTAATAACACTATTCAAAAACTTATGATTGATGAAACTACGTTTAATGAGGATATTAAGGTTATTGAAAACAAAATTTATGAAATTACAGACGATCTTGCATTTTATGAAGCTAAATTCCAATTTTTAGAAGTTTGCGAACAATTAATGGAAAGCTACATGTTTCTGGAAGAGACAATTAATGATATTCTAAATTCAATTACTTTTGCACGTTTAAAAATAATACATCCTTCTATTATCACTCCTCAAGACTTAGTAAATTCTCTTCAAGAAATTTCTCACACTTTGTCGAGAAATAATTTACCCCTTCCGGTTAATTTAGCAACAGTGTCAGAGTACCTTAATCTTATGGAACTCGAAGCATATCAAACTAAAACAAGAGTAGTATTCGTTCTACGCATCCCGTTATTAGAGCCCGAAATGTATACTTTATACAGAGTGATTCCTCTACCCATTCTCGATAAACGTACTGGTTTGTTTCATGTAGTCTCCACTATACAGAGGTACATTGCTAAAGATAGCGATTCTCTTTTGTACGTTTCCTTTCAAAACTTAGGTAGTTGTAAAGTTCTTCAGTCTCAGGTGAAAATCTGTTTCAACCTCTTGCCGTATCCAATAGACAGTAATGCAGTCTGCGAAGCACAGTTGTTGCGAAATCCGGTCGATCTGCCGACAGCCTGCCAATCACAAATTAAACCAATATTCTGAACAACTGGACAAAATTATGAACGAGCCGTTTGTTTCGAGACATCTCTCATGGTTCACGTATTTTATCATCACCCTGTTAGTTATCATCGTAGCTTTGTACCTGTTCTGCAAGTGCAGAAAACGAAGACCACTCAGCATCTGCGCATCAAACTATCCAGCCGATGGCCCATCTCCAGGAGCACCAAAAGTCCGGTACATTCCCAGACTTTTTCCTCGACGTAGACCAACCATCCAGCCACATGAGGAAGACATCGAACTGCAGTGAGTGTTCCGTGAAGTGTTTTCACTGTTCAAAAAACCATTTTCAATTTTCGTGTTATCTTCCATGTAATTTTGCCCGTACGACTGTACGATTGTATCTTATTATTTGTTTGTTCCAGCTTTGCTTTTAGATGTTATTGTGCATCGCCAATGTACCGCATTTATGCTAACAATTTTATTTTTCAGAATCTATATTTTTTGATGTTATTTTGCAATTTTATTACTCCTACTTTTATATTTTTATATTTTACAATGTTTACAATTTACATTTCTACATTTTTACATTTTTGAATTTTTACATCTTTTACACTTTTCTAATTTTGTCAAAAGTTGTCGCATGGCAACAACTTTTTGTAATAGGGGGAAGTTGTTATATGCACTCAAAACAATGGACTTACTATTCCATACAATGTTGCACCAGACGCTAGCTCAGCAACAGATAACGACTTCTCGCTAACACGTTGTTTACGCTTCATTTTCTAGAAGTGCTTTGTAAGCACACCAATAGTATAAATAGGCCTTGCGCCCATTTCATGTCGTTCATTACCCGGCTAGGCACCGTAACAGTCACTTATGTAAACTTTATGTTCAATACCCGGTTAGACTCCGTAAATGTCACATTTGTAAACCTTTGTATTTTATATGGACTGAAGCTTCAGTCCTCAAATAAAATTTTTTAAAAAGTTATTTCTAAATCTAATGATTTAAGATATATATATATATATATTTCTGACAGATTCTCCCACCGTTTTTCTTCATATCAGCTTCAATGATTTTTATCGGCCAGACCAACAATTCTTCTGATAAATGTCGCTGTGTATGTACGAGTATATATTTTTACCGTTATAGATTGCACACATTCCGATTATTGCGCTGTACCTATATGGTGATTTAAACTGTTAAAATGTTTTGTAATTGCAATGACATATTTGCTCAAACGCAAGTATGACCCTCAAGTTCAGATTGACAAGTGTTATATCATATAACATGATCTAGTACGACAATAAGCTATATATTTATCTATCTCTATCAACCGGGGTTTTTCTTTTTTTATTTCTCTCATTTGTTAAATTTAGTAAAATTGCATACATAGAGATGAAGCATTCATCTCAGGTAAATATATTGGAGAAAAGAAACTAAGGGTGGATATCGCCAGGATTGTCAAATCAACAGTCATTCTCCACCTATAGGGTAACAGTCCGACAAATACAGCGAATGAGCTTCAAGTTCCAATCAACAAATTTTAGCAACCCAATAGCTATGACATGTTGAAAACAAAATAATGTCAAAGTATGAGATGACAGCTTGTCACTGAAACATCACCATTATTGAATATTAAGATATTACATACAATTCAGTCAGTTTAAAAAAGTGTTTGATTTTTGAATAAAATTCATGTTTATTTAATATTGTCGATTTCAACTGATAAGAGATTTTACTGATTTAATATCACCTACCGTGTGCCTTTTCCTATAAACCTTTTGCAGATAGCCATTAAGCACCTACTTGATGACAGTCTCTACCAAAAATTTCATAGATATTGCTCGTTTCCAAACATTTATTCTTTTACTTGCCATTTGCCAGTACCATTATAGCAACTTAAATTGATATTCCCACAAAACCTTTCAGGATTTTTACTGAACAAACATCCACACTATATTCATAGCGATTAAGAAACACCCATATATATGTCGTAAAGCTACCGGAAAACCTAAAGCCTGCAAAAAAACTACAATTTGCAATAACATTCTTATTTCACTGAGTACACATTCTAGATTACATTTATATTATACATTATTTGAATAACAGCTGGTTATTATATTTCAAAACTTCCCAACAAGTGACACATGTGTGGGATCCGTCAATGCTTGGTCCCAGTAGAGCAAGCTCCGCCAATGGTTGAAATTGCATTTCGATAAGCTGCTCCCTAATTGGTCGAAGACCTCGTTAGATTTAATATGAAATCGGCTCTAAAGGATCTATCATCAACACACATTAAAATATTCACATGAATCCTCACTATGCACCTATGCACAATTGAATAACAGCTAGTTCTAAGTTTTTAGAAAAACCTACATAATATCAGAAGAAACCTATATAATATCAAAAAACCGACTTAATGTCACTTTTCAAGACACATAATACCCCTGCTGGCTGACAGTGTAAGCAGGCAAATAGTTCCACTAGACAGTTTGCTGTTTTTACTCTCGTAGTGATGGGACTTTGTATCATCTGAATTCGATAAACTAGAAGAGCTGAATAGCTCTTGGTTGTTCTCCACCGAGGTCAACCCTACTCTAAGCTGAAGAGTTGGCAAACAGTATGAAACAGCTGTCCATGGTTGGATGACTGTGGTAGGACAACGAAAGCTATGTATCACTTGTTTTTATTAACTTCATTTATGTATGACTGTTACACTCCAAATATATTTGGGGCTGTAACAAGCGAACTACATTAAAATTTGCGGGCTATACGTACGTGATATCCCCATATGCATCGCGCAACACATTCGCTAAATATTTAGTTTCGGTATGCCGCAAACAATGTAATAGAACATTATTCCCGTTGGGTGTTTCATTGTTATAATACCTAGCGTTAATGCAATTAATAATCAGAGGTATGTGTCGTATGGGGCGAAGATGTTATTGGGTGATGGTATGTGCGAAATGTTATGTCACGGGTATCTGCTCTGTCTGTCTCAGAGGACGCTGTATACCCTTAGGGTAATGGTAGATCCCGTCGACTTGAATGTATGGAGAATAAACAAATTACGACTTAGGCGGACTTCAGGTGGCTAGTTGCTCTGCCTAACGCATTCTTAAATAGCTTAAGCTTTAGCATCGAGAAAAACTGCCAGCTAACCATGGAACAGGTCTCATTTCCAAAACTACAAACATTTGACACTCTGGCGCAGGATATTGTTCTGCTAGTCTGACATAATTATGTATCGAATATTCGAATTTGCATTCGCATGTTTCTTGATATTCGCATTTGAATAATTCATACAAATATTTTGCAAATGCGAGTATCAGAAGTAAGGAATATGAAAATAATATTGGGTACTTGATTAAGACAAGGAAGTTGGATCCTTTTCGGCCATAAATGCAGCAAATAAACAAGAACTTAATTCTTCACAAATGTTTCCTTGGCCTTAAAAATAATAAGCTTCCTTGCTCACCTCAGAGTTAAAAAAGGACC